AATATAAAATAGGCCTACAGTTTAGTAGTATGATTTCGATTCTAATATATATTTAGATTTATTTTGTGCAATTTATCTTGAGGCACACTTGTGTAGAATTCCTGGAGTCTGAAGGAGTAGGAAGGTTGAAGCATTTTGCATGAAAATCATTTAAAGTTAGTGGGTTGTCAATATGAGAAGTATAGTTACTCTACTGTAATTCATTCATTGTCAATTTGATGATTATTACAGAACTGAGTTAGTGAGAAGAATAAAGCGATATCAGATAGCCAATTCCAGTTGTTTGCTTGTCAAGTACATCAAAGATGATCGATACAGTTCAGAAGAAGTTTCAACACATGACAGGTTAGTGGGCTGTTTTTCTTTCAAATATATTTACATGTTATTTTTGTCTGTGTGTACGTGCTTGTTGAGATATTAAATATATCACATCAAAATCAGTAACTCGCAGGGTACAATAAACCAAAAAGGACAAAGATCGAAAATACCAGTCAGATTTAAAATAAGCATCAAACAATACATTTTATAGCAAGAATCCCATTTAATATGTAAATAAAATAGTGATGGATTAGTTGGCATTTTATACAGGTTTATTCTATTTTAATTTATAACATGAGATTAATGTGGTTATTCCTAGTCTTTGGATCAAACAAATTAATGTAATATTAATGTGCTATTAGTTTGATGCTGTAATGAGCGCAGTATGGTTTATGGTTTATATTTATATAGCGCCTTCCACGATCGAAACTGTCTCAAGGCGCTTCAGTAGCAGGCAAGCCACCCAGTACCATTCACTGTAGAGAAGCAATGAATATAAAGTAGTAAAATAATAAAATAGCTAGTGCTTTGCTTCAATTATTTATTTTTTTCAGGCATACATGTCCGGCTGTGGCAACAGCCAACTTATACTCTTTGTCAGCAACAGCTAAAAAGTATGAAGTGATTGGAATTGATGAAGGACAGTTTGTAAGTTTTTAGTTCTTTCATTAATTTATCTGGCTTCTGTAATGATGGTTGTGAGAAAAATATATAATAAATTCTATACTTAAGTCAGGTTAAAATTGGCAGAAAGTTCGTACACATTTTTGTATTTTTATATTGTTTATATATTCACTGGTTACACTGTAGTTGGTTTGAGAGCAGCCCATAATGCCGCTATTGGTGTAAGTACACCTTTGTGAAATATTGTTGAATATAACTACGTTTTTTCCCAAAATGAGTTACTGTATGTGTATTTGGTAGACAATATTTGTACTGTACAAGTAGATATCACTGATCAACATCTACTTTTATCAGTTCCCAGACTGTGTTAAGTTTTGTGAAGAAATGGCAAATTATG